GATGTTGAATGTTGAATATGAATATTGAATGACGAATGTTGAATATTGATTATTGTATATTTGAACTGAATACTCTGTGCATGATATCAAATGATTTGATTATGAATTTGGATTCAATTTATATGGATGTTCGACGCATTAGATATGCTTACTCAGCTTCACCGCTGAGCGTGTAGTATGTTTTATTTGCTACACACAGGTTAATAGAAAGAATGATGTGACATGATTCTGGAGGCAGACGGAGGCGAGACTGTCGGAATGGATGTGATGGTTTTGAATTAAAGAACATAAATAAATTATGTTTGTAATTATGATTTGTTAAGCTTCCGCAATATTGAAAAGTCCGCACTGTATATGTTATGAAAAATATTATCGTGATAAATAAAAGTGTTTGAAAAGTTTTAATTTTACGATTACCAAGTTAATACTTTAGTTCGAAAGGGGCTACAGACTTGGACGGATTAGGGTGTTACATTTTGGTATCAGAGCAAAGTGAGGCTGGAGACAGATATCTTTCTAATCTGTGTGGTATGGGACATACAGCTTGGTAAGATACATGTAGCCGGTGGAGGTAGATATCTTTCTAATCTGTGTGGTATGGGACACACAGCTTGGGGAGATACATACAGCCAACTCATGATCCTTAGGAACCCTCGCGCGTGAACGGTGGCGAAGCGTGACTCCCCGCCTAAGGGCTCAAGCAATTGAGTGCTTTGATAGGACCAAAATGTAGCCACATAGATGTGTTACAACTGGTCTCATCACTTTCCTACCATTGTAGATGATTTTTCTAGAGCTGTTTGGGTTTTTCTCCTTATTGACAAAAGTGAGGTCACTAGTTGTTTGAAACAATTTTTTCACTCATTCAAACTCAGTTTGGTAAAATTATTAAAGTTGTTCGTTCAGACAATGGAACTGAGTTTCTGACAGGCCCTTGCGTGAATTTTACAATAGCATGGGGCTGCTTGTTCAGACTTCCTATGTTAACACACCACAACAAAATGGTCGGGTTGAGTAAAAACATCGCCATATTCTTAATTTCGCTCTCTCTTTGATGTTTCATGCTTCTTTGCCTCTTGAGTTTTGGGGGGATGTGTTCACGCCGTCATGTATCTTATTAACCATACACCCACTTCACTTTTACAGGGCAAATATACTTATGAACTCCTTTCTTCAAAACCTCCAAACTTGTCACATCTCCAGGTTTTTGGGTGCTTATGTTTTGTTTGTCATATTCAACGACCACCAAATAAATTCCACCCAAGTAGTGTTAAATGTATATTTGTGGGGTACCCTATGGGAACTAAAGGTTGGCGGGTTTATGATCTTAAGTCTCATCATTTCTTTCATATCGGGATATCTCCTTTGAGGAATCTACTTTCCCATTCGCTATTCCTAAGGGCTCTTCTTCACAAACTGAACCTTCCCCACGTCCCACTTACGCTGATTTTCCCGTCCCTACCAATCCCGAAACCTCGCCCCATCCTACTGGTTCTGATGTCCCACCCAACCCGGAGCCCAATTCCGATGATTCTTATGGTCCATCGCCCCCCTCCAGCGGCAGCAATAACGACGATGCGTCCATCGCAAACAGTCCAGCTAGTTTGCCGTCGCCCCCTTCATCTCCACCCTTACCTGTTGTTCGTGCACGCCGCCCCCTGCACACCTTTCCGACTATTATTGCAATATAGCCTAGATGTTCGCTTCTGTTGACTCTTCTGGTACCTCTTCCCGCTCTTCAGGTACTCGATATCCTATCCACTTTAATTTGTTTTTTAATAATTTTTTTATAAATAATACTCCACCAAATTTAAGTGTTTTAAGAGTGAAACTATTTTTTTCAATAATTGAAAATATGGTAATAATTGAACAATAAATAATTCTACACAATGGAGCTAATTTATTTACTTCATAACTCACTATATTCTTTTGTTCGTTGTAATTATTTTTCTTGAGTGACACTTCGAATAATTTTTTGATACTGTACTGTTGTTATTTTAATTTAAAAACAGTACTACAAAACTTATGAATATTTTTAAATAATTCTATATAATAATTTTTTGCAAAACAACATTACAATAGTAGTGAAAATAACACGATAATTTTTCTCTGAAATGGATTTTTTAGTTTTACAACTCACTACACTTTTTGTTGTGTTGCAATTTTTTCATTAACAACACTCTAAAATGTTTATTGGTAATCATTTATTACCCGTATTATTTTTCTAAAATGGAACTACCCAACATGTGATTTGTTTCGATAATTTAGTACATACAAATTCCCCCCCCTGAGATAATAATTCAAGTGTTGTGAAAATGGCACAATAATTTTTTTCTCTAAAACGACACTAAATAATTTTTTAACTCGCTTCAATTTTTATGCATTGCAATTTCTCTTTCGGGTGATACTCAAAATTATTTTTTCGATAATCTAATATTATATTTGTACCGGAACATAAAACAAAATTTGTAGATTGTTATATGTTTTAAAAAAATTGAGACAAATCTCTAACAAGAGTATATATTTTTTTTAAAACATACATTTTAAAATTTAAAAAATAAAAAAGTAAATTTGCCTAAAATAATCTCACCTTTCAGTTTTTTGCCAAAAACACGCATTTTCAAAAAAATCCGTCAAGTGACCGTTAGTTTTTTAACGGCGATCCAAAACTCATACACATGCGAAAGGTGAGATTATTTTTGGTGAAATTAAAAAGTAAGAATATTTTTGAAAAAAAGCGTGAAAAGATAGAATTATTTGAGATATTTTTTCCATAAATTAATGACAACGAATAAAGCTTGTACAACCCTTTGCCCAAGAGAAATACTCCCTCCTTCACTGAGTATTCGTCCACTTTTGACTTTTTTGGTCAAAATTAATTAACTTTGACTTCGAATTAAATAAAAATGATATTAGATATTGATGCAAAATTAGTTTTATTCAATCTATTATATCAAATATTTTCAAATTATTATTTTATATAATTAATATATAATATAAGTTTTATTTAATTATAAATTAAAAATTGAAAATTATTGACCGAAAAAAATTAAAACTGGAGCGTGTTCACATTACAAATTAAAAGTGGACAAATAGACATGCACCTGCAACATACCTGCATCCGCACGGGCACACTCACAAAAGTAACGATTGAAAGGAGCGTGTTCACATTACAACGGCCATTTTTCTGGGAAATCGTTCAAAAGGCGTCACCGGTCCCCCTCGCCCCCAACTCACTCAGAAACCCTTCTCTGCAAATTTCTCCATCTCTACACTCGCTCCAGAGTCCAGATAATGCAATGGAGATTAATCAACATGAGCACGGAGTACCCGTTTCAGATAATCTGGGCGAGAGAACAATACCTGTATTCACTGTGCTGAAGAACAACGCTATCCTCAAGAACATTTTCCTGATCGACAACCAACCCTGGGTCGACGAATCCCACAATGAATCGGAAGAAATTCTGGCTGTCGGAAGGCACCCAGATTGTGACATCACCTTGGAGCACCCAAGCATCAGCAGATTCCATCTCCGCATCTACTCCAAGCCCTCTTCCCAATCCCTCTCCGTTGTAGATCTATCCTCAGGTATTCTTTTCTTCCTATTTAATCATTTCTTTGTTCTGGGTGAGTGATCCGTTTCTTATTTCTTGATTATCCCAAGTATAGATGTGGAATTGTTCGATTGTTATGCGTGTAATAAACTGATAGTTTTCAATTTCTTAATACTATTAAAATTACTCTGCGTGTTTCTACATGAAATGTATGCATGTGAATTTCGGAATTAATATTTTGTTGAAGCAACCCTCGAGGTTTAAAAATTGAGACAACATTTTTTGTGTGTGTTAGTGCATGGGACTTGGATTGCAGGGAAGAAGATTGAATCGGGGGTTCGGATTAACTTGGAGGAAGGTGACATGATGCAGCTTGGGGGATCAAGTAGGGTATACAGGTTGCATTGGGTTCCCTTGAGCAGAGCCTATGATTTGGATAATCCGTTTGTTCCTCCAATTCTTTTACAGTCAGAGCATTCACTTAAAGAAGAAGAAAAAGAAGAAGAAGAAGAAGAAGAAGAAGTGGATCATCAGGTAAGCTCTTTGGAGCAGTATAAGTGTTTGAGGGTTGTGCACAATAAATATTGTCTCATTGGCTTAAAGTTGTTATGATGGGATTTCTTATAGGTTGATGCTGGGTTTTTGGATGAACAAGATGAAATGCTGGTAAAGAATGACATACTGGAGAAACAAGACGCAGTATATTCTGATACAGATGTGCCTTTTGCGAATACTTTGCCTCCATCACCGCCTGCTTTGCCTGAGGAGATTAATTACCCAGCTGCAAGTGAAGAGAAAGATGCTGATGTAGATAACCATTCATTATTAAAGGATCTTTTCCTAAGCAGCAATGTGGGCGAACCAGCTCTAACTCCAGAGGAGGATTGCATATTTTGCTCTCTCCCACTTGGCTCATTCAGGAATTTGAATGAATTATATTTGAGAACGCGATCAACAATGAAATCTTCACTTCTGAAAGTGGCTGAAGCTGATGGAATAGCTGCTCTGGATGAAGAGAATGAATCTGTGACCAAATCAGACCTTATTCCAGATATCCAATTTTGTTTTAAGGATCCTTCTCTGAGTGGTGAAAAAGGGTCATGTCCAGAGAAGGAGAATTGCCCTTCTAGTTCCCTCCCACTGAGTTTGTTGACAAACACAGATGAGTTCGATTTGAAAAATGGGTCAACACTAAAGTCACTGGTTATGAAAGTGGATGAAGCCGATAATGGTATAGTCACCACAGATGGAGAAAAAGTGACTGCGGATATTCATTTTATGTGTGCATTTGATGCAGACAATGAAATATTCTCCCCAGATGGACAAACATCTTCAGATGAGGAGAAGCTGTCTCCTATTTCTGTCCCACTGAAGTCATTGTCTGATGTGAAAACTGGGTCAATTATCAAATCTTCTGAAGAGGTAGTCGGCTATAAGGAAGTGGTCAAAGATGATGATGAAAAAGAAGTTCCAGATATAAAGAATCTAACTTTGAACATTTGCTCCAGTTATGTGGATGAAGAAGAAATTTCCAATCCGGACAAGGAAAATCTGGTTCATAATTCTCTCTCATTTGGGTCCGTGAAGAATGCAAACGAGTTTTCCGTGAAAAGTGGATCATCGAAAAAATCTCCATTTCCAAATGTGGATGAAATTGATGAAGAAACAACAGCCACTTCAATTATAGAGAGCATAACTTGGGATGAAGAAGAAATGTGTACTCCATTGAAGAAGACAGGTGAAGTTGAGCTGGAAAGTCCATCTTCTATAAAATTTCCAATTCCAGATATGGATGGTGGCGATGAAGAAGTTCTAACTCCTGATAAGCACAATGAGACTTTGGATGGTGATGTAGCAGATAATGAAATGTTCTCCCCAGATAAACAAATGTTTACCGCAAATGAAGAGGTATCTCCTATTTCTGTCCCAGTTTGGTCATTCTCTGATGTGAAAACTTATGAAGAATCATCAGTCACACTGATGGAAGAGAGTTTAGCTCTGGATATTCATATTTTGAATGGTGGCAACATGGATGACAAAGAAATTGGCACTCCACTACTGAAGAAGAAGAAGATAGGTGAAGTTGACTTGGAAAGTCAATCCACGATGAAACTTTCAATTCCAAATATGGGTTACGGTGTTGAAGAAACTGTAGCTGCATACAAGCAGAATGAGAAATCGAGTGCCCATATCCTGAGGTCAATGAAACATAAGGGAACACTTCAAAGTATAATGAAGCTGAAAGTGCATAAATCATCACCTTTGAGGAATGCAGATGAAACTTTCACTCCAGATAAAGAGAACATTACCCCTAATATTTGGAGGTCGATGGACAAGATTGGAAAGTCAAGAGAAAATAAAAGCAACTCCCAGATAGGTAGTGAGGATGTTAACTCAAGATCACATGAATGTGAAGGCATGGCTGTTAATAAAGAGAATCACAATGAGAGAGCGCTTCAAGAGCAGAGAAATGAACAAGAGGGACTACCTATGCAGTCTACACCAAAGGAAAATGATAGATTGCCTTTTCAGTCAGTGCTTGTTAACTCCAGCATCGTGTCTGATTCAATCAATCCAGGAGTGGAAGAGAAGATCCATCATCTCTCTGTAAGTTCATTTGGATATTTCTATTTCCAAACTCAACATTTAAGAAATTACCATGGGATATGTTACCATATAACGTACGAGCTATCATGGATGAGATATAAGTGTTTAAGTTCATTTGAGTATTTGTCGATATTCATCTTCATAGTGTGATTCTTATTTTAAAATGTTGATGTATTGAATTATGATTAAGAATTCAAAATGTTTCAATAGGAGCCTAAAGTCAGGGAGGAAAATATGAGTTGGTGTATGGTTGTGGACACAACTACTCTGCTGAACAAAGAATCGAGGAAAGCTATGCAGCTTCTGGAGGGTCTCAAATGTACTTCTTTGCACATCCCTCACATTGGTAATCATTCGTTCATATCTTTTTCGGTTTCCTTTTCTGTTGATGAGCTTCTTGTTATCACAATAACTGATATGGCTCATTGGCTGTCTTTTTATTCTCAGTCATAAGGGAGCTAGAGTGCATGAAGAGTGGGGCTAGTTTCTTGACAAGAACTACAGAGGTATCTTCAGCATTAGAATGGGTTGAAAACTGTGTGAAAAATACAAAGTGGTGGATTCATGTACAGAGTTCAGATAAAGCAGCAAGCACCAATGCTGAAGACCACATTCTCGAATATGCTCTCTCCCAGAGAAAAATCAACAACAGCCAGAAAAGACTCGTCCTCCTGAGTGATGACCTCTCTCTGAAGATCAGGTCAATGGCAGAGGTAAATACTTTTTAGAAGAAATCAATCCTCCAAATGATTAATTAATTCTGTATTTTTTTGTTGGTTTATTTATAGAATATATTATAAATCTATGCAGGGATTACAATGCGAGACAGCAAAAGATTTCAGGGAAAGCCTAGTGAATCCGTTTTCTGAGAGGTTTCTCTGGAACAAAAGCTCTCCCAGGGGCAAGACGTGGTCATATGCCGATGATATTGTTCTTAAGGAGACTTTCTATCATCACCCGTTGAATAGACCTCATTCGAATCATGGATTGAAGCTCATATTGCTCTACAAGTCTTCTCAGTGCATTCAGTTCAGTTGTTCATTATTAAAGAACTAACTAGTCATGTGTTCCCTCTCTGGTATGACTGTATGAGACTAGAAGCAGCTAATACGAGGAGTAATGAAAGGCATATCACCATATACAAGCAAGCAAGCCAATGCAGTTTGTCTCCAGATTCAATTTCAATTTTCACAGTTTTAGGTTCTTTTTGTTTTCCTATAAATGGAGTCTTCTCAGCCACGTTCTCCCTGCAAGGATTCATTTTTGAGCTTAAATGTCAATACTCTTGAGGGTATTTTCGTCCGGGCAATAATCACTCCGGCGTTAAAGCTTTGTCAAATTAGAACATATGATATGTAGTAGTCTTGTCAAAACAACTCCTCGTGACATCAAAACCTGATACAGTAAGAAGAAGATCAAGGTGAATACCATTACATAGTCTGTTACTCCATATTTAATACTCCCTCCGTCCTAAAACTTTCTTCCCACTTCTCTTTTTTCCCGTTCTAAAACTACCTTCTCATTAGAAAAAAAAGATAACAAATGACATTAATACCCTCATTATTTACACTAATTATCTTCTAACTCTTTATTTTGAATGATTGCAAAAAAAAATTTCAATTTTTTTAAGGAGGGTAAAATTTGAAGTCAAAGCCAAAAATTAAAAATGGGAAAAAGTCAAATTGAGAAGAAAGAATTAGGACAGAGGGAGTAGGTATTAGATACTTATCTAATGACTTGGTACCCTCTTCTACAACTAAGGATGGGACCAACATAGTCTAAAATAAAAATTAAAAAAATATCAAGAATTAGTTGACCAATTTAGTAAACAAAATGTAAAATGACTCTGGCCTCATACACTCAAAGCACTGAATGTCTATGTAGAGGTCTTTTTCCAGTTTGGAAGCATTCTAATTGTGAATGTGTTCAGGGTTTATACGAATGTTTTTACTCGCTCTGTCCTTTTTTCCTTTTCTTGTTTTGACTTTCAACCGAAATAAGTAGTCAAATTTTTTGCATTGACTGGACTATTTTACCCTCAAATCCTAATGTAATAATGGAAAGGAAATAGTGTAAAATAACATTGCATTTAATGTTGATGTACACATTTCCATCAAAAGCCCCACTTCAACCCCACTTGAAGTTGTTGAGAATAAAAAAAAGTAGCTCATTCCCTCCCACACACGAGGGTAATGAGTGCAAGTGTAAGAACAAATGATAACCACACATTACATTAAAATGGAGACCGAAACAAGTTTTAAAAAAATTTGATATTTTGGGAGAATTTCAAAATTCCCTCCACTAGCACCCCTCCAAAAATAGCAAAGTTCAACCAAAACACCTACCACACTACTAATAAATGACTACTAATAAATGAATGCAGTGAAAGCATTCAATGCATTCATTCATCCCTTGTTCTCTTTGCTACCTTCTTCTATGGCCCTTCCTATTGAATCTCCTTTGCATTCTGCCTCTAGTTCCTTTTCTTTTTCAGAAGACGAGTCTTCTTCTTTTGACCTTCTTCCCCAAGTTATTGAGGAGCCTTTTCCCAATCTTTTCACTCCGGAAACAAAAAAAAAACTATCTGAATGTAAAGGTGCTTTATTAAATTAAAGAAGGAAAAGAGTTGAAGATCAGTTACTATAGAAATGTAAAAATGACAAACTTCAGTATGGTATCATAAAAAAACTTACTGAAAAAATCAGCATTTCCAGTAGAACTGTAAGCAGCATTTGGAAAATAGTTCGGGCTCAAATCCAAGGTGGTCTACCCATTGCCTTAGAGTGCAAATGGAAAGGAAAGTGTGGAAGAAAAAGGATCCTTGTTGACATTGAAAAATGGAAGCTCTGCCTTTTAATAGGCGCAAGAACATGCGTGCATTGAGCTATGGTATGAAGGTCTCAAAATCCACTATCCATAGATGGCTTGAGTGGAAGGAGATCAAGAGATATTCAAATGTCATAAAGCCATTACTGTGTGAATCCGGTAAGTTGAAAAGGATAAAATTCTGTCTCAATCACATTTCTCCCCAGCCCTGACCCAAATGTACATGATCTTAGATTCCTTAGGTGTTAGGAATATTGATTAAATATTCAAAAAGAAAGGAAAAAAAGGACATGAAAAGATGGAAAATAAAGATAGATAACAAAGGAAAAATGGGATGGATGCATTGAATGTGGGAGGATGCATTGAATGATAGGTGTCGGCCATTTCTTCATTGTCTTTTATTCCTTTGTTCATATGCTCCTTTGTTAGCTATTTAACTAGCCATGTGAAGAGTTCTCTATGTGTGTGTGAGTTTTACACACCACCAAGGTAGAGAGAGAAAAAGAGGAATTTTACACAAGAATACCACCGGGAAAATCCAAAGGGTCTTGGTGAGTCTGGGTGAGTGTAGGGAGTAACTGGTTTTAGTTACTCGAAAAAATACATCCGGACATATGATGTGGAAAGATCTATTTATGAGTGTCTGAAATTTAGTCTTGTAAACAGGGGAGAGTTTTTTGTATATTGTCCTGAAATAGTGGAAATATAATTTTTTTCTCTCATATTTTCTTCTTGTGTTTGTTCTCTTATTTTTCTGGTGTTCTCAATATTTTTCGGTATCTTACGCGCTTAAAATCCCAACAATTGGTATCAGAGCTTGGTTGCGCTGGGCAAGAGGGATTTTTAAGCGGTAAAAGGAGAAATTTTGAGAACCCAGGGACTGGTCGGTTTTGGCCAGAAGGCGACCATTGGACTTCAAGAACAAAGTGGATGGCATGAGGACCGGGGTACGAAGCAGCATGCTGGCTTTGTGAAGTATGGGGCAGGAACATGACTTGAGGAGATCGATGATCTAGAGGAGTGAAAAACTGTGGCTTATGTCTTGTGTCGAAAGTCTTCCCGGCAAGAAGAGGTCGGGCGGCGTGTCCTGCTGGTGTTGTTGCGGCGGTGCAAGATGGGCAGATCAAAAGAAGCTAATTGCTAGAGGAGTGGTCTCAGAGAGTGTTAACAAAGGTGAGTTGTCATTTTTTTAGCTCGGGGTGGAGGGTTAAAACTCTAGGAAACTAAGGTAGTGGCAGGGATCTTGACGGGATTGGTTGAGATGGAGTCACGAGTACAACGACGACTGGAACTGGTAGAGACCTTGTGGTATTGAACAAGGTGGAGCCATGGTGTAACGCCCTACAAATCGGCCTAATATTTTGCCAATATTTTAAATAAATAAATATTCTTTATTTATTAAGACTCATTATTTTTAGTAATCAATATTAAGATTTCCGATCTCTTTAAATGGCTTTTCAAAGCTAATGTATTTTAATATAAAAAGATGTTTTAATAACGGACCTCTCATCATTAATTAAATAAATTAATTAATGATTGGGGTGGACCAGGAAGTTTGAAAATAAAGTTCTTAGAAAAATTATTTGAACATGTCATTAAGTTCATTTTGACTGTCTGATTCCGGAAACACAAACGGATCTCAATTCGGACCCGTTCGGGGGAAAAACTGCGTATCGTTCAGGTCAGATGTTTACATAACGGAGTAAATAAATATTTGTAACTCCCCATTTAGCCATTCCTCACGCCACAACCTCACCACCCATTCATTCCCATTAAATTCTTTCATTATGTCTCCATTATTTTTCTTCTTTAATATAAAGCTCCCTTTCCTCTTCATTTGCCATCATTTTTGTAACTCCCTAATTCAACACACACATTCACTCTCCATCTCCCCCTTCTCCTTGTGGGGAGTTTCGGCCATAGCATCCCAGGGAAAAAGGAGGAGCTCCGGCGTGTAGACGAAGGGGAAATAAGGAGAAGAAAAGAAGAGAGGCTACTCGAGAAGTCATTCGTTGGTTCGTTGTCAACCGTTCGTTCATTTCGTTTCCGTTTCATCAACACCATCATTTAGAGGTGAGTAGTTGTCCCCTCTAATTCTAGAACATTTAGTTATAATCTATGTTGTTATATTCATAGGAATATCGTACGCAACCTACGTAGAACTAATGCATGTTCGTAGGTTAGCCGCCAAAACGTTCACTACGTAAAACCTGTATATATTGGCTTAGGAATCACTAGAAATATATTTATCAATGTTTACATTATTGTTCTAAAAAGAATCAAGGTGTTAAGTTTGCAAAACGGATCGAAACGGAGCCAAAGACAGAAGACCGCCCGTCCGACGGTCACCACCGTGACGGTCGACCGCCAGACGCGACGGAGGACCACGGTGGACCGTCGGCCATCCAGACCTCCAAAGTGTATCCCATGGTCGACCGCCGGTAGGGTACAGTCGACCGTTTCTTAGGCAGTTTTTCTTGAGACAGTTTGTAGAATGAATCCCATTGACCATTTTGACTCAGAATCTGATTGTGTGTTTGCATAAAATGTTAATCCTCATTATGTATGTTATTTATCTGATATATTATTGGCATTAACCAAAGGTAAATACATCAAGCATTCATCATGTCCAATCTGAACACATGTATTCATCACGTTCATCCTAGACGCATGTCCTAGGTTTTCATCATGTGCATACCGTTGTAGGGAGGACTTTGTGTGCCTACTATAGCGGGCCCGTCCAGGAACCCTCGGGATCCAACGGGTTTTCATCAAGTGGGCTTTGTGTACGTACATGGTAGTCAGGCTACGGCTACCACCCGGTTTTTGCTAGTCCACTTGCGACGTTTGTCGAGCCCGGGTCATTACCGGAGTGCAGGGGTGATCCTGTCAAGTGAGACTAAGTCAGGGGTGTCCCTAATAGCATAAGTCATACATCAAGTCATATAGTCATCATGTATGTTCCATGTCGCGTCAACATTCAGTGTGGTTGTCATCATCATTTATGTTTCCCATCATGTTCATATTCAATGTGGTAGTACATCATTTTGTTATACGTAATGGTATTCCAACAGGTGTAAATTAATCAGTTAGTAACATGTGGTTTACCGTACGTTAAGTACAGGTATTAACATGTGTATAACCATATGGGTTATCACTTAATGTTCTTTTGTTAGATTCACTCCTCAGCTTTTGCTGAGCGTGTAGTTGTTTTTGCTACACGCAGGTAGACATGACGGTGCGGGTGCTAACCCTGGAGGACAGTGATGGTGGAAGATGGGCGGCGCATGGACAAGTTCAATAATTTAATACATTTAATTAATTAATCATTTGGGCATGAACCCACCATTTGCCGTTTTACTCATTTATTTACTTCCGCTTTTACTCTGCATTTATATCACTCACATTTTGGATAATTATCCTAACATTTACTACACCAATTAAATACAAACGTTTTCATAATAAATAGTCATTAATATTCCATAAATCAAACGTAACCGTTTTCACATTAAATAATCACTAATGTTTTTGTAACGGACGGTTCTCGGACCGCCCATGTAACCCTACCCGTCCGTTGGGTCGCGGGTGAACCGGGTTCACGGAAGGCGGGTGTTACACATGGAGACACCAAAGGGTGGCGGAAATCTTGCGGGATTGAGCAAGATAGAATCATCAAAAAAATTTCATGGCGGAAGTGATCTCGATGGAGCAAAATTGAGGTGGGGCCAAGGAGATTTTTTTTTCTTTCGGAATATTGTTGATCTCATGGGACAAGTGAGGTGGAACTACAATGGTTTTGAATCAAGGTGGAGTTTGTTAGAAATTATGAGTAATTATTCAAAAAGAAAGAAAAAAATAAGGACATGAAAAGATGGAAAATAAAGATAGATAACAAAGGAAAAATGGGATGGATGCATTGAATGTGGGAGGATGCATTGAATGATAGGTGTCGGCCATTTCTTGATTGTCTTTTATTCCTTTGTTCATATGCTCCTTTGTTAGCTATTTAACTAGCCATGTGAAGAGTTCTCTATGTGTGTGTGAGTTTTACACACCACCAAGGTAGAGAGAAAAAGAGCAATTTTACACAAGAATACCACTGGAAAAATCCAAGGGGTCTTGGTAAGTGTGGTTGAGTGTAGGGAGTAACTGGTTTTAGTTACTCGGAAAAATACATCCGGGCATAGGATGTGGAACAAGGGAGAGTTTTTTGTATATTGTCCTGAAATAGTGGAAATATAATTTTTTTCTCTCATATTTTCTTCTTGTGTTTGTTCTCTCATTTTTCTGGTGTTCTCAGTATTTTTCGGTATCTTACGCGCTTAAAATCCCAACATTAGGTCTATTCACACACTGCAAGATCAAGCTTCTCCTAGGTCTTTGGCACAACATTTGAAGAGCTGTCACCTGACAAACGCAATAGAGTATTCTTGACCCTTCAAGGTGTGATGGGTGAGGTTCTTAATAACAATGGGGGGAACCAATTTAAAATCCCTCACATGTACAAAACTAAGATGGTCATAGAAGGAAGATTACCACGAAACTTAGGGGTCAGCTTAGAAGTGTATCACAGTGCACAAGTGTACTTAGAGGAGCATGTGTGATTACTCTGAGATAGGGTACTTGTTTTTTTGTTTGTGCAAACATGGCCAAGGAAGAGTACAATGCCTCTCTTTACTTCCTATTGACAAGCTTTTGCATAATTTTTTGATGGAAAACATGCACAAGTGTTGTATCTGACGCAGTAGGAGTTTACCTTGCTAGTGCCAAAGGACCTTTTTTTTGTAGTATCTAACTCAATCAGAGTATATTGTAATGCAAGTGCAGTGTGTGTAATTATCAATATTGCAAGTGGCAATGTGTAGCATGTGTAATTATGAGTAAAAGAAGTGTCTAAATGTACCATCTGTAATTATTAATTGGATATAATCATGCAAATGTTTGTTTGTCTACTAAACGTAGCATTTGGTATTATCATAATTCAGGAAGTTTAACATCTTCAATTCATCAAGAAAAAAACATCCTTTTCAATTACACATTTGAATCACACTGCCAGAGAAGAAAGAATAAAGAAAACAGCCCATACTCTCACCACAACACTTTTCTCACTGAACAGGAAAAGGGGAGACCACATGGATAAAATTAATCAGTTTTATAAGTCTCCAATCAATACGGGGTGACATTACAATATAGGAGCTCACACATATCTAGCTCACAAAGTTCCACTGGCTAAGAACAATTCTTTTTTGCATCATAAGTTTGCAACTAGAGAAACAAGTAGGGCATGCAAATACTCAGAATGTAAAATTATGTATCGGACATTAGAAGTACCTTCCTAAAGAGAATGTAAAACAAGTAGGAGAAATTACTCTTCCTAAAGAGAAGTACCTTAGCCTCATCTCCATCCGGCTCCGAGAAAATAATTTATGTATCGGACATCTGCAAGATCTATTCTGAAGTAATAGATTCCTCATCTTCCCCATCTTCGACACAACCTCCTTCTTCCTCCGAAGGAAAATGGTCTCCCCAAAGATATATTTTCCAGTACCACCATGTTGGATCTGTATCAGAGGTTCCAGATCTGGTATCGACAGAGTCATATTTAGGGATCAAAGGGTTTAGAGTAGTTGGGACAGGTGTAGGAGATGATTTGTCCTCATCACTATCGCTTAATAGCTTGAAGCTTGGAATCGTAAGATCGCGAATCACCATAAGTAATTTTGGATCAATCAAAGAAAGGGGAAGGGAGATCAGAAGAGAGAAGGGTGTCGGGCGACAGTGAATTGGAATAGGCAAACAAAGATAGAGACAGAGATGAGTGCAGATGAGTGGGTGACTTACGAGTGTCAGTGTGGATAAGGTAGGTGGAGGGGTTTGGATTGGTTAGGTAGATTTAATTAGGAAAAAGGGTATTACGGTCTATTTGTGAGAAAAGTGAAACACTTTATGAGAAAAAAATGAAAGAAGAAAGACTTTTTCGGACGGAAGGAGTATAACAAAAAAACTAAGAATACTATATTTTCATCCTACTTGTAACACTAATTAAGAGCATTTATTTAAGCTCGGTAAGAATACCATCTTTTGACCAATTGATTAAAAAAACTAAAACTACTACTCCCTCCGTTTTAAAATTAACTTTTCATTTGACTTTTTATGATCTCTAATGCTACATTTTGACTGAAATGGATGCTTATTCCTTGTTTTTTGTACCTTTTTTCTTTTTGTGATTGTATTTTGGGTTTTTTTGGGCTGTGTTTTAACCTTGTAATCCCTTCTTCTATTAATCTACTTGGTAACGGTTACCTGGTCCTTACCCCATCAATTTTGATGGTTTCGACTGGGATAAATATATACATACATACACACACACACACACACACATAATATTTCAATGCTATGTTTCAAAATAAATCTATTAATACTAAATTTATATAAAAAATTTCAACATATTTTTTCCGTAATATACGGTCAAAGTTCAAAATATCTTACAACAAAATTCAATATGAGAAGTTAATTTTAGGACACAAAAATATCTTTTACTTACTTTTCTAATGTTTTACTTCATACTTCATCCGTCCCACTGTTTTTGTCCACTTTCATTTTTACACACCATCCAATGCACTTCTTTAATCCATTTTATCTTGTAATTTGTATATTAAAAAATTATAGAAATTATATATTAATAATCTATATGTTAAGACAAATCAAACAAGATCACACATGACTATATTTAGGCTTACACATTGAGAGAATTTGATGAGTCAAAGTGCTTAGATGAACAGTTCCAAAAGTCAAAAGTGGACAAAGAGAGTGGGACGGATGTAGTATTATTTTACGAAATGGTTAGATATGCTCTTAATCCCTTTAAAATAATCGAATTTTATTTGCAGTCTCTGTAAAATATTTTTTGTTAAAATCATCCTTAGAAAAAAATTATTTTTAAAATGGTCCTTAAACATAATTAGCACTTCGAATTAAATGAGATAGTACATTTATTTCATATTTAATATCTCAATCTTGCATTTCTAATTATTTTAGACACAATTTCTATGCCTTAAATTGTGTATTTTTTCATATTATATCTCAAATTTCAAAATTTTTAAAAACTATAATATAATGAAAATTAAAAATTGGAGATATAATTTGATAAAGGATACATTTAGGGCATGAGAATTGTGCCTAAGATAATTAGAAATATAAAACTAAGCAGTTGATATTGAAATAAATGTGCACTCTTAAGAAATCAATGTTACGTTTTAGGACCATTTTAAAAATAATTTTTTTGTAAGGGTTACTTACACAAATGTATTTTACAGGGACCAAAAAAACAAAATTCGATTACTTTATACGAACTAAAAATGTATTTAACACTTTTACAAAAACATCAATATCTTTTAAAATCAAAAGACTGGTAGGTAGTGAATAACATTTATTATAAGGTGGTGTGGTAAACCAATATTAATCATATAATTGTAATTAACAATATTTTTTAAATAAAAAAATTGTATTTGATGTTTGAATTGAAATTAGAAAAAAGTACATATTAAAACTTAGTTTTGTAAATGACCGACCATGGGGATTTCCCAATCACTGCAGAACTTGAAAGTTCATTCCCAATGTGTGAACTTGTTGCTGACATAATGGGACCCGACTGAAATATGTTGAAATGGAACTCCATCTACCGTTTCACTCCATTAATTAACAAAAACTTACCATTTTCTTTATATTTTAGTTAAATAACATTATCAATTTTTTAAATTATTTATTTTTTAATTAGTGTAGATTAAAATTATGTTTTTTCATATGATTTATTATTTTTATAATAATAGATAATTTATTAATGAAAAAATAGATAAATAAAATACAAATCTTACAACATCACTTTTTGTCTCGGTACAGAATAATATAAAAAAAGCGTGTGACAACACGCGTTATTGCCCAAAAAAAGTACATAATTAAAATATACGCACATAAACAATAATTACAACTAGTAACTTATGAATGAATTACATGCCACGACATTGTGTTCGTGGTCGCACATCCATGTTATTAATGAAACGGGTACTTATTGGACGACCGAGTTGTGACCGCTACCTTGTATTTGGTCACACTAATTCATAACCAACATTAGGCCATTCCATTTCATTTGGTAGTGGCATAAGACTTCCAGAGTATGTATTCAGGTAGCTTTGCAGTGAGAACACCAATGTAATCAAATCATCAATCGTTATTTTACAAAAACGGCATACGACATAGACGTGGACACAAGGCATATTTAATGTGGACCATTTCCCGCAAGTGCAGATACGTTGGCTCAAATTCACAATAATTCCATTTTTTGTACCTGCAGGCCCAACATTTCCCTCAATAGTGACCCGAAAAATCCCTTGTTGCATAGCATGAGGGATAACATGACAATGCAAACGATTATATCTTCATTCTAAACATATTTTGGGAACTTAAACCCTGTTTGTAATAACGTAATTTCGTCTGTCCGCCTTTATGCAAACAATTTCACTTATCTCTCATACGATGTCTTCACGATAGCATATAACAGAAGAGAACGACATCCCTTCAATGCCTGATTGAAGCTTTCTGAAAGATTAATGGTCAGGATTCCATACCGAGACCCACTTTCTGAAAGGACGTGAGGCAACATATACTCCATCCTTGTATTTGGAATATTCCCCCGAAATTTTGTTAATGGAATAAAAACCATGTTCACCAACAGCAGAGAGGAATTCATTGAAGACCTGTTCAAATGAGACTTCAAGATCAATGATGAAGGCCTTGTTTGCATGCAATGAGTACTCCACCTCATTGTTTACAATTTTGAACTCACCATTCCAATGGGCTAGAAGGATAAAGCTAGCACGAGAGTCCATTTCATGAAACATGAAAAAGATTTGAGCGATTTGTAGTTGTGTAGTGAGATTATTATTTTCTACCACAAATTTATAATAGAGTTGAGTTATTGAGGATGTGTAGTAGTTGAGTAAAGTTAGGTGGGATTTGAGTTAGGTGCAAGATTTTGTTTAGTAGTTGAGAAAAGTTAAATTAGGTTAGGTGCAAGATTTGAGTTAGGTACTGGATTTGAGTTAGGTGCAGGATTTGAGTTAAGTTAGGTGTAGTAGTTGAGAAAAGTTAGATGTGTTACGTGTAGGACTAAATTTAAAAGTTAGATGTAAAAACTAAAAACTTCATAACATTTAAATTTAAAAAGTCTAAATAAATTTCATGCGTAAAAATTTAAAAAACGTCTAAACTTTGTTTTAGTTCTATTTTAGTAGTTTTCTCCAAAAATATCGTCCTAGTTTGACTCTTTTTGCCTCTTTGAACACAAAATAGATAGAATGATAAATAAACAAATGTTTATAGAATAATTAGAGCATCTAAATTAAATTTTTGGCTAAAAGCTTTTATTAAATAATATAATAAAAAAATTTAAAGAAAATGAATATAACATACATTAAATATTAAATTTGAGTTCCAAATTTTAAACAAATTGAACATAATAAAATAGATATAATACGAGTGTCAAATTGGGTGGACGAATGCCATTTTTTTAGATCTTCAACAAGTATCACAATCTTGTCCCCAATGAAATCTAAAAGCATTAACCGTACAAGTAGTACTGTTCATCATTTGCCACAACAGTATTACTTGTTGTTGTTGTTGGCTTGCACTGACAGGGAATGCATTTTCAAAAGCTTCACGGGTAGGGAATTAATTCACCGACCACACTTGGTCTTGTCAATTGAGTAATAGAAAAACAAGAACATGGCCTCCCTACTCAAGGCCAAAAACTTGAGAAGAGAAGTTGGCATTTGGCAAAGTTGGTTGTGGATTCGTTTGCTGCTGATGCCCAGAAAACGGAGACCAGACCGGTGAAGAAAACTCCCAGCTGGAGGAAGAGAAGAGAATGGACAGTTGATGGATGAACTTTGTCAACTCAGAGAAGCTCTGGCCCAAGGAGAATGTTTAAATTCAGAATGTTTAAATTCAAAAGGCTAGTACTATTATTTTGGAACAAACCTCAAGTGAAAAGGGTGAAAATGGACTGAAAGTAGATCTTTATTCAATATGATGATGATGATGATGAATAGATTCATGACATAAAATGTGGCCAATACAACAATAAGGCAATCAAGAGAAATGGGGACAACTCCTAGGTACAAGGCTACACCAGATTACTGGCTCATCCCTATTCATGGGACTCCATATATTTGCCAACCTTCTGCGGGTAATCACACGAACCAGATAATAAGAAAGAAAAGGAACTATCCGAATCATCAAATGGGACTCTTGGGAAATCATGAAATCCACCCCCAAGATTACCCGTTTCATCATAGTTCAATGTTGAGAAGTAACAGCCTGCACCAGTATGAGCATCGGAAGCATTTAACTCTGGATGCTCCGATGGAGCACCCATGGATGCTCCATTGTTAACATGGTGGTCATCTGGTGGGGGAACCGCGGGCGTGTGACCTTGGAAAAGGGTGATGTGGCCAAACAGCTTGTCTTTCCTGGAGAAAGTTGTACCGCAGGAACACAGCCATTTATCTTTGCCACAATGCTTTTCATGCGTCTTAAGATCCGCAATGACCGAGAATTTCTTTACATTACATCGGCTGCAAGCGTAGCTTTTCTCACAATGGGTTCTCTTGTAATGGTTTTTGACACACAAGATGGTCTTCAAAGGTTGAAACTTTTTGTGGGTCCGGTTGCGCTTGCACCCCACATAAGGGCATGAATACCTCTTGATGAGTGTAGGTAAAGAGGTGGGTTCTTTGTGGGGTTTTGCCAGAGCAGATGCAGTTTTGTATTCATCCCCATGGCCCCTCATATGCATCCTCAAATTGGCATCTCTCTTGAACCCTTTCCCACAAATGGTGCAAAAGTGAGTGTGGGGTGCAAGAATCTCCTCCTTCTCCAGCTGAAGAATCTCATAGGAACCAGGGGCCAAGTTTTCTTCTTCGTCGTCTTCATCTTTCGACTCCGGTTCTTCAAGCACCCTACAGTTCTGCTGATCTGTACCTTCAACCTTACTCATGTTGTTAAGAACACTTTGTGAAGGCTGCACAACTTGGTCAGTGTGCTTCTTCACTGCTGGAGGCAAAAGGCTGCCAGCAGTTGATATCAGTTGGACTATGATAGAAGTTAGGTCGGCTGTAATGAGATGCTGGTGAACTAAAAGCTCATTTGCTTGACGACCCACAATCAAGCGCACCAGATCCTGGAGTTCATGAATCTTTTTTTCAAGAAAAGATAGGTTGGTCAGCATGGTTTTCGGATCCCATTCTCGAATCCTGTTTAAGTCGCAACCTTGTTGATCCGATAGAACTCTAGTTCTGATGTTGTTGATGGTAGAGGGAGAGGATTCATTGCCCGATGGCAGTTGGTTGAGCTGGGACAACTCATTCTGAACCCTCACCTGATCAAGAAATGAACTTTCCCACTTCTGCTGATGCAAAGTGAAACTGTTCAAGAACTGGAGGTAGTCTGGTTGTTCATCCTCCAGAAGTTCATTGCACGCGAAAGAAGGTTTTTTCCAAGGATCTGAAATCAATCCCTTATCAGGATCCATAATTAAAATCTCCTTTGGATTGGGGCTGGCTAATATCCAACTGGAAGATAAGATAAATCTGCAATTTGCATAAAAGAGTCTCAAAAGAAAACTAAAACACCTGTTTTCTTACTAGACTTGAAGACAAGCTTCCATCCATTTTCTGGCAAATCTCCATTACACAGACATATTTAAAAATTATATTCCCTTCGTCCCAAAACAAGTTTTTACACTTTTCTTTCAGCTCACTACATTTTTCTTTCTTCAAAAACCAGTTTGAACCACACGCATTTTAGTTTTCAACAATTTTCTTGAACTCTACGAACTATGAGGTTAAACTGTAAACTTTATTTTGAGAGGAAGGTAGTGTAATTTTTTATAAGAGCATAATAAACAAGGGTCATTTTTTAACCCCAGGACAAAACAGGAAGAATTGCACTGAAGCATTGCAAGACTAGTCTCTTTGCCACAAAAGTTGGTGTAAGACCCAATAATTAATTAAACTCACATTCTTTTGAAAGACCAAATAATTAATTGAACAATCAAGATTCAACTTTGCACACCACCTGCTGATATCAAGAATTCCAGATTTCAAAAGAGTTCATAAAGAGTAATTGACTAAAGAAATAACCTTTTTATAGCTTTTAAAAGGAAGAAGAGGAATTCAGAACCCTGCATGAAAAGCGGCTGGATTCGCCGCCTGATTTCTCAATGATCAACAACTGTAAATTTTCATTCCAGAGTACCCAAACCCTTTTAGGGGCTGGAAATTAAACATATATTCTCAGGAAAAAAATTATAAATTATGTACTAAAAAAAAGTTGCACAACTAGGGGTAGTAGCAAAAACTGTTCTATCTCAAGAAAGAATAAACACAAACCACAACTACAGACCAAGAAACAAAAGGGACAAAATCAAATCAAATCAAAGTGCAAAATTTTCAGAAGAACACCTTTGGAAAGCTATATGTACACTCTGTATAGGGTATTTACCAGATTCAAGAATACAGATATGATGCTGATGATTTCATTGTCAGAGTGTTTGGAGAAAGAGAGAGAAGAGAGAGTGGACAACATATTGGTTGGTAATTGGTACAAGAAGAATACGAGAAAAGTCTGTTCTATGCCACCACTCAAAGATGTGTGGGACACACGCTCTCTATTTCACAAACCATTTCAAATGTGGACTTCGATTGATGGGTCCCAGTGTGACAGTGTCCTAGTTGGTTAGACCTGTATTCGCACTTGACAACCTTTGCTTTTTTTCTTTCTAGTGTTGCACTTGCTGCTTCACACCTTACGGCACTGGAATTAAGTATGAAACCCTGGGCTTCACAAACAGGGTTTCAAAGTTTTTCTGTCAAGTTAGTTTTAACTTACTTCATAAACTAACTTGACAGAAAAACTTGACAAGTTAGTTTTAACCATATTATGTGGATTGGAATTGGAATTCCAATTCACTAACTTCTTCACTTCCTGACAGAAAAATTGCTTCACTTCTTTTCTGACAATTCCAATTCATTTTTTGCACCAATTCCAATTCCAAATCATTTTTTGCACTATCACTTCTGAATTGGAATTGGTAAATTCAATTCTATGGAATTGAATCCATTGAATTTCAATTCCAATTTAATTCCAATTCCATCAATTCCGTATACCAAACGGATCCTAAGGCAAATTGATCTGATATTTTTACTTGATCCATTTTAGGGTACGATATTTTACTGAATTCTATAAATCAATATGATGGAATCCACAATTTCTGAGCGTCAATCCGATGAACTTGGTATTGAATCAACACCACACCTAACATCGAAATCCAATATATGAATGAATGAAAATAATTAAATAGCTAAATAAATAAATAAAATGGGGAGAAAGCATCATTACTTGCAAACCAAAATTTGAAGAAAATGACAAGTTGTTTTGGACAGTATTATGCTAAAGAGATAATTTTTTATTAATCTCGAGAAAACTCAGAGTGTAGAAGCTTACTACCATTAATGGAGTTCCTTGCTAAAGGAGTTAAAAGATGAATAATGAGGGAGAGAGAATATTATGAGTGTAGGCTTGGTACGTAATCACCCCCTATTTCTCCATATTTTATTTAAAAATAGAAGCATACATATCATTATGTTGGACTCTCTTCGTCCCATTTTAAAATATATGTTTCAACTTACAATGTTTGATTAACTTTATTTCCAAATGAATTTATATGCAATTGAGATGGGGTTAAATAATAAAAATTAGTTATTTAAAAAAAATAAAATATCATTCAAAATAAGTGACGACATGATTATATTTTTTTATTAAATGGATAACAAAAATTGGTAAAAAAATGAATAAAATTTAAATATGTGAATTCTATATAAACCATTTAATTTGGGACGAATGAAATATATAACTACCAACAATGTCATATTATTTGGATAATAAGGCCACATTCCATGAGGCAAACATTCCCAAAGATAGTAAATTATATGGTATATATAGCTGGATGTACCTTTCTTTTGGTACATCATGGTAAACTTGTATGGAATAATAAAAAATGCTTCAAAATAAATACCATGATTTTTCAGAATGAACATTATGCTAAACAAGCTTCAGAATGAACAGTACGGTTGAAAATGAACATTCTCTTAATTCAAAATGAATTTTCACGAATTATACCTAGCTTTACTTACAATACAGACTGATTCAATTTCGTGCAAATCAATTCAGGTCATAAGACTATGAAAAGTAGAATTATTTTATCATCATGCAGGCTCATTCCAACTCATCTCTTCTTTGATATAACAGGAACTCCTTTAAACGTTGTTACTTTATCCTTCAATGCATCTCGCCTGGGTCGCGCTACCTTATTGTTGGGGTCAAAAAGTAGGACTTCTTCAAATGCTCTGAGAGCTTTCTCCAAGTCCTTATTTTTCTCGTAGGCATCGCCGAGGTTGTTCCAGGCAGTGACGTAACCAGGCTGAAGCTTTACAGCATTCTCAAATTGGGCAATTCCCTTGTCAATTTTCTCATCACGAACATAACTCACACCAAGCGCGTTGTAAACCTGATAAAACATTCATTTTATGTTTTAAGAAACTAAAACATGAACAGAGAATGTTTCTGACATTTGTTTTCATCAAATGTCAGAAGTCCAACTGACTGTTCTAGATTCTAGAGTGTGTGGCTTTAGAAAGAATATACTATAGACCAACTCCTCTCTGCATGAATTATATGGGTAGTAATTAAATTTCACAAAGAACGGTAGAAAATGAAAAATATTTATGATGGAGCACTGTTTGTGAGACATTTACTGTTCAGTCAGAAGTTTCTCCATAAAAAATGGTTGCTTTCATGTGTCTAAAGCTCTAGATTCTCTTTCTCATGACCTATTTTCAGCATCTCTTCAAGAAGAGGTGAAAGGAAGAAGCGAGAAAAAATGGACAGACGGAGCACATGCTATGCTAAGTGATTGAGAGAGGTGCGGAGAGAATACTGAATGCAACACAAACAAAATAAACAAAACTAGGAAAAGGTTTAGTTCCTTTCAATCTCCATCCCACATTAACATGTCATTGATTCAAATATTTCAAGATAACTATGTAAAGTAACAGCTTACTTGGGAAAGGTCCTGGCGATCTCCATCCCATTTCTCTATAGCCTGAAGCAAATACCTAGTTGCAGCGGGATAAAGTTTTCTTCTCAGCATAACAGCTCCAAGTTCAAATAGCTCCTTTGAGCTAGCACCACCACTTCTAACTTGCTCCTTAAAGTCATTGCAATATCACAGTACACATGTTTATTCTTTTTACACACAAAAGAAGCATATGCAAAAGAAATAGAGAGGCCGCAATAATTGAAATGTTTCTAGCTATGTATTATGCTGAGAATTCATGTTTCAAATTCTATGTTCTAGTACATGACAGAAAGATATGGTAATCTAAAGATCAGACACTGGTTCTGTTGAAACAATCATGCAAGTGAATCATATTTTTGCACGGCCAAACTACGGTGCATGTAAGGAGAAATGGTACCACTGAACTTGATACTATTAGCATGTTGGCCCTATAGCCACCAAAGGCGAAAGAAAATGATAGCCAAGTGATGTAAGATCCTGACCAAGTTTTCGTGTTTATTCTTTATGATACTCCTTTCGTCCTAAAATAAGGTTCTCGTTTGCTTTTTGCAGAGTTTAAGAAAGGTGAAATTGCAAAGTTGATATTATGTAGAGAGTAACATTTTGTGGATGGAGTATAAAAGATGAAATCAATAATATGTGTAATATGCATGTTTTTTCATTAAAAAACATGAGCCACCTAAGACGAGAGAAGAATGTATTTAAATGACATGAGGTCATCAAGTATAAGGATTTTCTTAACGAAATAAATAAAAGAGACAATCTTTAACAACACTGCACATCCCTTAGTCAAGAAAATACAAAGTAATAAATAAACTTATTAGCCCCTCCATCCCATTAGAGGAGTCGTTTCACTAAGGGTAAAACTTTTAGATTTTAGGAAGGTACAACTATTTCAATCATCACCATGTTTGACATCCGACTGTTGTTAGTTGTTAGATATTTTGGCTGTTTGGGTAGATGCTTATGTGAGTTGTTTGCAATAGCTGTTCAAGAAAAAACTAATTTGTAAGATGAGGTGTTTTGTTAGCTCTTTGAGGTTTTATAGGTAAAAAATTGTAGATTGAAAAGGTTATCTGCAAAAAGCTTGATTATCAAGATGCTCGAAATCCATCTTTTTTATCCCTAAAAGTTTGGGTTAATCATTACATTGTCATGAGTGCTTTCTTTGCAGGGTGTTTTTTGTCTCTTAGTGCTTTTCTGTACCAGTAGTTTACTCTTTGGCTATTGTGTTTGTGCTTTGTGTACCTTGTGTGTTGCTCGAGCTGGAGGCCTTTTATAAACTACCTCTACTTATGACTAGGGGAGTAATTTTTAGGAATGGAGGGAGTAATTTTTTAAATCTGCACTGGGATGGAAGAACAGTGCATGCAATTAATTGTTTGGCAGCTTATTTATCTTCAAGTGTTCTGTAATTTAACTTTAAGAATTTGGTCCTTCTTTTAATGGATTGACAATAAAAATTTTAAAACCAGCACTCAAAAGTTCCATTAGCTTTATTGTTTACCCTCCTCTAATCCTTAAGCAACACCTATTCACTGTAAATAACTTCCCGATTAATACATGAGGTTATATTTTCAAAAGTGAGACCACAATGACTTTACATGCATGTTTAGTACTACCTCCGCCTCAGTGTATTTGTCCCATTTGTCTTTTTCAAGTCAAACTGGATGAGCTTTGACCTACATTTACTCCCAATTTGTATTGTATATTAGTACAATGAAATAAAAGTTTGAAAGTTGGCAACAAAATAAATATAAAAAAATTGTTTTTATACTAATAAACATTACAATTTTTGCTTAATTGAAGCTCAAAATTCATCTAGGTTGACTCGAAAAAATCATACATACATTTGGAAGGAGGGAGTATTTAGCTTTAATACTTTACCAATTCTATGAGATATCCTTGAACTATAGGCTACATACTTGCAATTCTTTGGCAGAAAGATCAAGCTCTCTACGGATAAGGACTTGACGGATGACAAAAAAACTTCCAGCTCCAAGTAGTGCTACTAGCAAGAGCAGGTATGTAAGCTGAATCCCAAGTTCAAACAACTCTCCAGTCTCATAAACCATATTCACATTGACACCTTCACTAGCATGTGAGACTTGTCCCGATGTAAACCACAACATTGAGCCATATGTAAAAGCAGATATACCAGCAAATGGTCTATCCATACTAGTTATATCTTCAAACGTTAACAAGTTTAATGGAAATCCTGCAAGGAAAAGAATCCAATTCTGTCATAGCAAGTTTAATCGAAAACATGTGTTCCAGAATCCAGATTGACATAATTTAAAACAATCTTGTAAACCCGAAGTAGAAGAGTGCATCTTCCTTACATTCTACTCCGATCGTCCCATGTATTTGTCCAGTTTTCCTTTTAGGGGCATCTCATTGTAGTAGTCCAATATCCTTTTAAGATAATACTCTACTTTACATGCTTATTAGACTCTTCAATCCCCCCCCCACTCCACCCCTTTTTGTTTTACATGCGTTACTTCTTACAACTAACTCTGCCTTAGCCGGTCCCATGCCCGGATACAAGAGGAGGGTTGTGTTAGGTCTCAGCAACAAACATAAAACTTTGTTGAATCTTCATGACATGGATCAAACACGATATTGCGCTAAAGCTAGGTCGTTGCCCGGAAGCTGTATGGCTCGAGTACAGTGTCAAATGAGCAAGGGCCGCTCATCGGTGCCCGGGTGTAGTGCAAAATAAGCAAGGGTTCCCACATTTTGGTGAACCGACGTGGGTAAATAAGCTAGTTTGCAAAGGTAAAGGTAAGAATCAAGATAAGTTGCGGTTTGGGACATAGAACATAGGCACACTAACAGGCAAGTGTATGGAGTTGATTGATACTATGACACGGAGAAGGATTAATATTATGTGCTTGCACGAAACAAAGTGGGTGGGAGCAAAGGCTAAGGACTTGGACATTTCAGGCTTCAAGCTACAGGAAAGGTGAAGAACAGAAAAGGGGTTGGTATTATTGTAGATAAACAATGGAAGAAGGATGTGGTCGATGTTCAGAGGGTGGGAGATCGGATCATAACATTAAGGTTGGTATAGAAGGGCAGGCTTTTCACGTGGTTAGTGCCTACGCACCACAAGTCGGTTCAGAGGAACACCACAAGATAAGGTTTTGGGAAGACCTCGAAGGTGTAATACAAGGTATACCATTAGGAGATAAGATTTTCTTGGGAGGCTATTTAAACGTACACATGGGAAAGGATGGAAGTGGGTATGAACAAATCCATAGAGGGCGTGGCTTTGGAGTACGGAACGCAGAAGGTAAAGCCATCTTAGATTTTTCTTCGACCTTCCACCATCTTATTGCAAACGCATGTTTTCAAAAGCTAGACGAGCACCTTATATCTTATAAGAGTGGGAGGACATGCTCTCAAATTGATTTCTTTCTGCTAAGGAAATCAGATCGAAAATCTTGTACTAATTGCAAAACTATTCCTGGAGAGAGTTTGACCACCCAACAAAGAGTACTCGTTATGGACTTTTGCGTCCAACAAAAAGTAAGGAGAAGTCGCCAAGAGGGGAACCCAAAGACTAGATGGTGGCAGTTAAAAGGTGATAAGCAAATAGATTTCCAACGTTGTTTAGTAGAAAAAGCAAAATGGGATGGACATGGAAGTGCGGATGAGTTATGGTGTGATATGGCCGATATTATTAGAATGGTGGCAAAAGAAGCCCTTGGAGAAACTAAAGGTACTAATGCAAGAGACAAAAAATCATGATGGTGGGACACTAGTGTGCAAGAGAAGGTAAAGGTAAAGCGGAAATGTTTCAAGGAGTGGTCCTTATGTCGTAACGTGGAAAGTTGGGAAAGGTATAAGACTACTAAAATGGAAACAAAAGTGGTTGTAAGTGAAGCACAAATGAGAGCGTATGAAAGGTGTTACCCATCGCTGGGTACGAAAGAAAAAGAAAGATGTATTTATAAGATTGCAAAGGGTCAAGAAAGAAGGATGCGAGATTTGGACCAAGTTAAGTGCATTAAAGATAAGAATGGTCAAGTTTTGGTCTCCCATAAAAGCATAAATGACCGGTGGAAGAGCTACTTCAATGATCTGTTTAATGAGGGGCATGCGAATCTCTCATGCTCCGATCGGCTACACACGAGGGAGGAGGACCAAACTTTAATTACTGTCGGAGAATTCGAGAAACTGAAGTTAAAGAGGCCCTAGCACGGATGAAGAATAACAGAGCAATGGGCCCAGACAACATCCCAATTGAGGTTTGGAAAGGATTAGAAAAAAAGGCATTTGGTGGCTAACTAAACTTTTTAACGAGACTCTAAGACCTAAGAAGATGCCTAACGAATGGAGGAAGAGCATTATGGTTCCTATTTACAAGAATAAGGAGGATATTCAAAGTTGTGGAAACTATAGAGGGATCAAACTTATGAGTCATACAATGAAGTTGTGGGAAAGACTGATTGAACAGAATTTGAGACATAAGACTTCAGTGACAGAGAACCAGTTTGGTTTTATGCCAGGAAGATCAACTACAGAAGTTATATACTTGGTGAGGAGAATGGTGGAGAGGTGTTGAAGTGAGAAGAAAGATTTACACATGGCTTTTATTGATTTGGAAAAAGCATACGAAAGGGTACCAAGGGAAGCATTGTGGAAGGTGTTAGAGATAAAAGGAGTAGGGATTGCTTATATTTGTGCAATTAAGGACATGTACGATTTTGGTTCCTATTTACAAGTATAAGGGGGATATTTAGAGTTGTGGAAGTATAGAGGGATCAAGCTTATGAGTCATACAATGAAGTGGGAAAGATTGATTTACACATGGCTTTTATTGATTTTGAAAAGGTATATGACAGGGTACCAAGAGAAGTATTGTGTAAGGTGTTAGAGGGAAAAGAAGTAAGGATTGCTTATATCCGTGCGATTACGGAATGTACGATGGTGCTACAACAAGTTTGAGAAGTCAAAGTGGGGTAACAAGGGAATTTCCCATCGGTGTAGGGTTACACCGAGGGTCATCGTTAAGCCCATATCTTTTTACACTAGTATTGGGCATTTTTACCGAGAATATCCAAGAACCGGTACGGCCGTACCATGGTGTATGTTGTTTTCCAATGACATCATCCTTAGGAGCGAATCACGAGAGAATTTGAATGTGAAGTTGGATGCGTGGAGACAGGCTTTGTAGTTGCATGGTTTGCATATAAGTTGCACAAAAACAGAGTATATAGAGTGCAAGTTTGACAATGGAAGGAGAAATAGTAACATCAAGTTAAAAGTTGGAGAAAATACTATACCACAAGGAACGAGATTTAAATATCTTGGGTTTATCATTCAAAACAATGGAGAAATAGAGGATGATGTTAACTACAGGATTCAAGCTGGTTGGTCGAAATGGCAGAGTGCTTCGGGCTTTTTATGTGACAAAAAAGTACCTTTAAAACTAGGGAAAAATTTTACCGTACTGCTATCAAACCAGCTATATTGTATGGAATAGAGTGTGCGGCAGTAAAGGGTGAGCATGAACACAAAATTAGTGTGGCGAGAATGAAAATGCTTCGTTGGATGAGCGGCCATACACGTATGGATAGAATAAGGAATGAAGATATGAGAGCTAAAGTTGGAATGGCACCTATTGTAGAAAAATGGTAAAAACACGTCCAAGGTGGTTTAGAAATGTGGAGAGAAGACCAATAGAGCATCCTGTGTCAAGGATTGATCGAATGGTGAATAGGCATGTGATTAAAAGAAGAGGTAGACCGAAGAGGACCAAGCACTGATTAAAGGAGACCTTCACATGAATGATCTTAGAGCGGATATGATACATGATAGGGCGCAATGGCATCATTTGATCCATGTAGCCGACCCCACCTAGTGGGATAAGACTTTGTTGTTGTTGTTGTTCTTACAACTCCCACCCAACCCACCATCAATTCCAAATGACAAAATGGACAAAGTATGCCTGCCCTTTCATTCTCCTTGGTACAAGAGCCCAAAAAAACTGGACACAGGGGGGCCTATCTCAAATGATTATAATATATGTTGGTTTCGAGTTCTTATTGAATAATGGCGTCACACGATCATGTTAAACAGAGGCAAAAATAATTGAGTGTGGCAAGTATCATTAAGCAGCACCAACAACAAAAGGCCCAATATAATCCAAACACCATTGGAGTTTGGGGGCGAGATGCATACAACCTTACCCCTTTAATGAAAGTATCATTAATCATTCATCTCACTACTCCTTATGAATGTGGTGACCACAACGATATCTCACGTAAAACATTGTCACTATGCTTTTGGCATTAATTAATATTGTTACTTAATTTTATACAGTTAATTGGCACTATAAACTCAATGCCACCAACCAACTACTTGGGATTAAAATGCCAATAAGGATGATGATTACGACAATTCAATATTGCCTTATTGTCCTAGATAAAAAAAAGGACCAGACCAATAGGTGTATAGCAACTTAAATTTTAAAAAAAATAGTCATCTCATTATTATAAGTTATAATTCATAACATCAAAATAAATAGTCATAATCGTAACATTCCAAATTGACCTACGCAATATTTTCAACAAACCGAGAAGAGTTACGAGTAAAGTGAATACTCCGTAGTAATGAATGCCATAAAAAGAAAGAGTGGTTAGTGGATAGCATAATTGAAGAATAAAGGCAAACTAGATAAAGTGGGACATCCATAGATACTCTGACAAGGGGATGCTAAGAAAAAGGCGGAATGTCATAACATAGGAGAGATTGAAAGACTTCTTTTGCGATCACGCCAGAGGAAACTGAAGCATGAAACAATAAGCTTTTGCTCTTTCTTTGCATCTTTCTAGTTCCATTTAAATAAAAAAATCGCAAACGTGGGAGTCTCGGACGACGACCCAACCAACAAAGTATGTTTGAAGATCAGGTCAAGCATTGATCCGATGATCTTACATGCTAGATTGACAATCTCATCCAATTCTAACAATTTTCGGTTGATGACCCGATCCAGATCAGTCCCATTCTCCTGAAGCATAAAACCGTATGATACTATGATTCAATTTGTGATTTTGACAACCTTGGTTATACCCTCAAATAGAAGGGAAGATGTGAAGACAGGGCCAAGAGAGTGTAACTAATTAGTAAGTAGAAGACTATGTAAAAGATTTTCACATCATTAAATCCAAGAAGTTCAAGCAAAATGTCATGTTGTTTTCATTGAGAGGAGTTCACTCTTTCAGCGTACAAATTAGATAATGTATCCATATGTGCATGAATATTAACGATAAGAACGGTTGTTTAGAGCAAAATATGTTAGACCTCTATGGGTGAATGAAGATAGAGAAAATATACTATTATTGCTCGTAATCATTGAGGAAATGCATTTAAAGAAGATGGAGATGCAGGAAATAGAAATCACCCTTAAGGTCCTTTGAAACGAAACTAAAAATTTCAGGTCTGCTTCCAAAAACCTGCATGGATTAATGATTAGAAAAGCTGTTAGGCATGTGAATGAAAAGGCCTCTGAAAATCTAGTAAATGACCTACAAACATCAAAGTTAAACACAAATTTAAGAACTTTTTCTTACTACCAATAATTTGATGGTCCAATTGCTGGGGAAAGGGGGGAAGGGAGAAGAATGGAACAAAACTTTAAAATATTATTACTTCTAAGCTAACATAGGCTTCAACATGGCTAATTGGCTAATGGCTAATGCAAATTTCATATTTAATTTACAAGAAATGTTTGAACAACATGGCTACTATGATGTTTTCTAGATCATGATTAACAAAGTAAAAAAGGCAAAATGATGTAGTTCAGCATTAGAGGTGAGAGACTCAGTCTAAATGGCCTCAAACTCAATTCCATTGCCCTCCGACGTACCAAGAAAAAAAAGTCTGAAAGAGGTAGAAAGCCCTGACCTTTCTCCATGTGTCAATGACAAACAAAAGGAGTATCTCAAGAATCCAAGTTTGCCAAATAAGGGAATATCATGTATTGAAAAATCCATTAATGCTCAAAAGAATGGGCTAGTCTTTTTTTTCTATTTATGAAACCATTAGCACTTTAGGTCTTTGTGACTTCGGAAGTTAGTCATTGGTGCATCAATAATTTAGAGTGTGATTCTCTAACAGAAGTTTTGCCTGCCCTTCTTGAAAAAAAAAGCCATTAATGGCCTAAACCATGTGATAATGCCGTTCTTCTTTTTATGAAAGCTTTAGGTCTTCGTCGCATCAAAAGGTAATGATCGACTCGTAAAATAGAGTAATTATCTAGTAGACCTTTCGCTTGCCTGTCATGTTGTTAACAATCCTGTCATTGATATGACCAAGACACTGTTGGATCAAGAGATGGAAGCTAAAGATCAAGAGTGCTGATCGGAAGAGTGGGAAGATTAGTGGACTGAGGGCAGAATGGTCCGAGACCAGAAAAGTAGGAGTTCTGATGCCAGAAGCTTGAAGAGAATGAATAGTCATATGCAGCAAGATGGAACCAACAGCCTGTATCCAGAAGGCTGAAAGCCCAGAAGGCAGAAGTTTGAAGAGACAGATTAGTGAAGGACCGCAACAAGCTGGAAGCATGTAGAACAATCAGTTTGGTTTGCTGGAAGGTAAAACTTCACCAAATCAGAAAGTCCGGGCTAACAATTTTCGTTAAGCTCCGGGCTAACTAACAACAATGCAGTCAAAAAAACAAGAGCTAGTTGGATAGTTATTTTCTTGATTTACAACCTAAAAAAGGTAACCAGTGGTTGAAAGAGGGTGAACTCTTAAGGATTAGAAAAGGCTGCTTAAGGAAGGAGAAAAGGAATACCAAAGTAGCACTGCTATCTAATCATAACATTTAGCTTTAGCCTTTCTAGAAGTTAATATGCGTTATTAAAAAATCCAAAAACTCGCATCATTTTATTAGCCATTGGCAACATAATGAGACAAAATTAAGGTGTAGGGTATACATGCAGAGGTAAATAGTAAATGAATGATTTCTCAGCAACCAATTCTAACCCAATTGTATGAATATAATAATCACATCCTCAGAAGGGGTATATTAGCTTGGAGCTGAAACCGCATCAAATTGACCATCAAAACAGGAGACCTAAACTTAATTACTTAAACAAGTGAAACTTCACATGTGGTAAAGTATCGAACACTTGGTGTGCTGAATTCGAAGACAACACAAACATTATTTCCTCTCAAATGACATAAAAAACTGAAATCTGGGGAATATTCACACCTGGAATGAAGAATGCTTGGCGGGTCTTTGTAGAAAGCGGCAAGAAACGGATGGGGATGCTGATGATTGGGACCCATTATGACTATGGAGTGGGAGAGAAAAAGCTTGCAGCTTTCTGGTAGGCGTTAATATTGGCAGGAGAGGTGCAGTGTTGATACTGCTACTACTGTGTTGCAGAGGAAGAGGATGAGAAATGGAAGATGATTGTACCAATAGCAGCATTCTCCTCCCTCTTGCTCCCTAACTTATCTCTAAGTGGGATTATGGATCTTTCTATCATCTGCCTTTCCGTGTAAGATATGCGTCCATAGTAGACAGACCTGGCAAGTCCTCTCAATCGGTTCGGTTCCGGTTCGGGTCTTTTCGGTTTGGATCTCATTCGGATATATCGGATATATGTTATAATCGGTTCGGATTGGTTCAGTTCGGTTCTAGGTTTATTTTGGTTTGACTGGTTTTCGGTTTCGGTTCGGTTCGGGTTTGTATCGGTTCGGTTTGTATCGGATCGGGTTTATATCGGTTTGGATTTGTATCGGTTCGGGTTTGTATCGGTTCGACGTTATATTGATTCGGGTTTGTATCGATTTAGGTTTATATTAGTTTAGATATATTTTAAATATTTACTAATAAATCAATAATATCACATAATAAATTTAATCAATTTATGATATACTCCGTAGTTATTTTATTATTTAACACGGACGTACATAAAAAATAACACTTACATATAATTAACTAATTGTTTACATTCTAAAGTTTTCCCTCCTAAAGTTTTTGGCGTGATCTTTTTAGTTAACATTCTACTTCGTATTTCCTTTATTTCTAATTAACTATCCATTTCACTCTGTGTGTCAAATATTTGAATAATTATATATATAAAAATATATAATAAATTAAAATATACAGAGTAAAAGTTATTACCAAATTGTGGGTATTAATAAACACTTAAAATATATTATTTTTAATACTTTTGCTAATATTTTTGAAGAAACGATGTTGGTCAAACTTTAAGTTTGAAGGCGATAAAATACAAAAATACTTTAACTTAAGTTATAAAATACGAAGTAAAAGATTTGTACATGAAAGTAGTTATACAGTTTGCACCCATAATTTAAATATGTTTTTTTAGAAACACATCAACATATGTAAAAGTATATAGGTAATTCTTTTTCTCCAAGTTCATTTGATAAATGAAATATTAATGAATTTGATCAATTTCGGGTCTAACCGGTTCCGGGTTTAACCGGGTTCGGGTGTTCGGTTCTATTTCGAGTCTTCAGTTTTCGGGTCATCGGGTCCGGGTCAGTTTTGCCAGGTCTAGTCCATACTCCATATCCTTCTTAGCCCTTTCTTTTCGCCACCACCATCTCGATTGAAATAAGTTTTAATTTGATCTCATTTGGTTAGATCTGATTACAATCAGAATAAATAATAAGTAAAAAAATAAGTTGGGGAGAATATGACCTTACTCACTTTTGTTAATGATGGGTGTATTCTCACCCTGAACACACGTCAGACCCATTGCAAAATTTACCCGGGTTGTTCGTAACCATTCCAAGGGCCCGCCGGAAAAAGCAATTAAGAGTCCGGCCGGGTGGATTTAGTCACCCGTGTAAAGCACGATTACTTCACCAATCAGTAAGATCACCCGTAAAACTAAGAAAACATCTGAGCGACTTATCAGAAAAGATCACCCGGGTAGACTATTAGGGACCGCCCAAATCTTCGGATGGGCGTATTTTGGAAGGTAGCGCTTGGATATGATCAAATCCTTTGCACCTTCTAGCGTGTGCAAACGCTACAAAGACAAATCATAGTAAGACATCAATCAAGGAAGAGGACAAAACAGTACATGACAAACTGAGTCACTTCATCACATAGGTGAATAGTGGCAAACAGCTCCTTGTCTCCCCCCTTTAACGCTATAAATACCTTGTGTAATCCCCAAAAGAAGGGATCTGAATTCTCTCCCTAGAAAGTTCTTATATACTTCTCCCCTATACATTAGCCTACATTCAATAACAATCGGACTACATGTATTCCACCTACAGTCCTCCCAGTCAATATTTGTTTCTTTACCTCAGTAAATCACCCTAGACTTTGTCTAGAGTAATTTACCCGATGTGTAATTTACATCATCATTTTTGGCGCCATCTGTGGGATCGATAAGGTTTCTTTTTTCATTCAGAGAACCAACTCATGGAAACACCAAAAATCCAGAATGTCTTCAAGCCAACAAAACACCACTACCTCCGTCCCGGTGCAAGCCACCAATGAAGGAGTGACTTTGCCGGTGGTCACCTCCCATCCAGCTCACTCTACTCCGGTGATGCTGTTGGGCTTAAGCCATATCACGACCCCAACCATCACCATTCCATTCACGATCCCCATTTCGTCTATTGGGCCAAGGGTCGCATTTCCCCCGAGCATGACACAATTCATGAATAACCCGACAAATTTGTAGGCCATTTAAGGATTTGGCCGGCTCGGGGTAGGGTTTAAGGTAGTTTTTAGGAAATTATTTAATTTTTATTATATTATAAAATCTTTATGTTTATTCATTGAACTGTGACATCTATTTATCACCATACTTTACCTGTATATCCAAATTTAGTTAACTATATACCGTTAGTCACCATTTTAAAAGATCTACCTGAAAATCGAATTTTTAAATAAAATGGACAACTTTACAAATAACTCATATTTTTAGTCAGAAAATATTATATTTATTTTTATTAAAATAACGGATAACTACTAAGCCGTTTTTCAGGTCGTTACACCATGAACATCCTTCATTGCTCCCTTGGACCCGATGAGTTTGCACGTGTGTGCTCATGTAAAGGGGCCAAATAAGAATGGAATTTGCTTCAAGCCACGCATGAAGGCGACACCTCAACAAATCAAATCATGTTGGCCCTCGAGAACTCGGAATATGAAAGTTTCAAAGTTGGCCAACACGAGTCAATTCAATATGCCAATAGAAAGTTCAATGAAATAATCAACAATATGGGTAAGGAATATTCCACAAGTGAATTAAATAATAAAATTTTACTTTCTTTGCCAAAAGAATGGGATAATAGTATTCTAGATCTTTAACCCAAATGTGCAACGGAATGCTCCACCCACATTTGATCTTCATTGTATTCTCACGAGCTTTTGTTGATTAAGATGAAAGAAGGAGTCTAGTGATGACTCAAGTGATGAGTTAAATGAAAGGGATGAAACATCCAATGGCTCTAATTCGTCAAGAGAAATGAGGAAGATATACAAGAGTTTTCTCCAATAGAAATTTTATGAGGACTCAAGAAGGAGAAAATCCAATGAGAAAGACATGTATCCCAAGCCGAAGAAAGAACGACATAAGCCAAGATAAGTCTTTTTTATCCTTATTGGGATAAGATATTTTGTTTGTTTTTAATTGTTTTAAAAAATAAAACATTATCCCATATGTGCTTCAATTTGTTTTAGCCTTGGTTTGCATAATTAAAAAAAATTCAATATTCATTTTTAAAATCATGCCTTTCAAAAATTATCCCCAAAAATCCTTGTTGGGAAAAATATCATAAATTTTGATGATGATATATTTAGAATGTAATAGGGACTTTAGGTCTCCCCAGATATTCAATGTAATTTTTAGAAATATTGTTAAAACCAAGTTCTTGAGATTTCCAATAAAGTTGTGATATTTCTTTAAATGGTTTGATGCCTGAAGACTTAATCAAATTCAGAAATTTTGGAAATTGGATATCTTGATCGGAAATATAAGAGACAAGTAAGGATTTCTCAAAGCAGACAAAAATCCTCCTATCTGAATATTACATGAGAACCGGATGTCTCGTTACAACCCGCTGAAGGCTAAGTCGGAAGACTAGCGCAGATTTCTCTTTCACCCGGAAGACTGAGTATGACTCTTCCGGATTTGTCAGCTAAGAACCGGATGCCCCAAGGAACACCATAATTCTCAAAAAGCGGACAAGTGAGAAAAGACTTAGAAAATTATCTAAGTCTTGAATGAAGAAATTCTACCCGTTGGTAAGGAAAAATCAATCTCTTGATTTTCAACGGCTAGATTGAAGATAATTATGTTGATTCAAGAACAAATGACTCGAAGACAAAGTCTGGACCTCTAAAAATTGAAGAACCTGTCTGTTAGGCGTGTCGTAGCACCTACAAATTAATTTATTATTTTCCTTAACTCTTAACCCCCTTTATGCATTAATATTGATTAAAACATATAGATAGGGCAAGTAAGGGTCGATCCCACGAGGAAAGATACTTTTTAAGCTATGAAAATCAATTTACTTTGTCACTTTTATTGACTAAAAACTAACTAAAACTAAATAACTAAATCTAAAAGATATGGGGGGTTTGAATGACGATTCTAAAAAGATAAAAATGCAAATAAAATAAAGATAAAGGATAACTGATAAGAGATAAGAGCCAGAACCACAACAACAACTCGAACTCAGAAGAACACTCAAGGAGAAAACAAACACACAAAAACAATCACCATAAACTTTATAAAAACGTAGACAGTAATAATTAACTTAAACCATTTTGAAAATACTTATAGTTTTTAATAAAAATAAACTGAACAAATCTGATTCACTAATTTATCATGTCTTGATTCTGAAATTAAACTGCCAATTAAACTCAGGGTTAGGCTGAAGAAGAGGTCCACCAACGGTTCTTCCCTATTTTCCCATTCATATTAGCTCATGTTAAGACCAACCCTAACTCTAAACCCTACTATCCTTAGCAACCCAAAGACCAACCCTTAAGTTACTACTAAGAATAGCGCAATAAAATCTTTGGAAAACATCACCATAACAANTCTTGCAGTAACACTACGGTTATTTAACAAAATCAGTTCGAGAACCTTGATTAGCAAAAACCACTTAACGAGGCAGCAAGCACTAATCAAGTGACACTTGGTTTCTAGAAAAGTTCGGCTATTTAAAGTACTTTGGACTTTAAAAGAATATCAATTTAAACTGGATTAGGCGCGCGTTCCTAATTTGGTCCAATTTAAGTAAAATCTGGTGAAAATAGTTCTCAGAACACCTTTTCGAGTTTAGATTTTAACAGTAGCATAGAGCTAAAATCTCTTCAAAGTCAAATTAATTCAACAAACAAAGATTCAATCTTTTTGTCAAACAATCTGGCCTAAGAAGGTTTTATAATTCCAGAGACAATAATAAATCAACAAATCACAATTTGAACAATTCAACATCAACACACAAACAATTCAACACTTATAATATAACTTAAACATTCAACAAACATGGAATTGAAAATACACATATTTATTACTGACAATCAAATTCATAAATTGAGAAACTTATAAATTGGAAAGTCTTAATTAAAGAATGAAATTAAAAAGGAGAAAATTGCTCCCCTGAGTTTCTTCTTTGCTCGTTAATGGCGCCAGAAACAGAGCCTTGCAAAGTGCCTGCTAAGCTCAGCAACCGTCCGTCCAATCCTCCGTCTATGCAGTCGCCGGAATCCATGGCCGAATTCGCCGTCTTCGGAATCCATGGCCGGACCTAGGGCCGGAACCCTAGGTCGGCTTCTCTTCTGCTCTCGCGTGTTCTCCTCCGCTACTGCCTCCGGAGGACAAAAAAGAATTAGAAAACTGCTCCGTATATTTCCAAATAAATTGTGCACATTGAACTTAACTAAATAAAAGATATGAAATTAAATAAAATAAGTTCCAAATAGATTTGACTTAAAAGAAATGATTTAAAGTTTATAGTAGCAAACTCATTCTTAAAGAAATTCAAACATACTTGTTACAAATTTAATTTCAATTTAATGCAAAAAATGCAACACTTAAGAGTGCTAAAAGATTAAAAGAAACTATAATGATTTCTAATTTTTCTCGAAACTCTCTTTTTCTTATATAGATTTTTATGTGAAAGATAATTATTTTCTTCAAAAACTTTTAAAAATTTAATTTTTTTAAACAAATTGCGTCTAAAATGCTATGAAAGGTCTTTTTTTCGACCCAATTCATGCTCCTAGTATGTGTATGAAAACATGCAAAATCATTTTTTTTCCCCGAAAATATGCATAACTAAATGCAGAAGCGTCCCCCCACACTTAAATATTGCAGTGCCCTCAATGCATGTCAAAGATATAAAAATGATGAACGAATGCACATATTTAATGAGACAATTAACAACATGAAACATGAAAAACAATAAAACAGATGCAAAATGATAGGGAGGGGATTATAAGATATGACAATTAAGCATGCAAGACAGACAAAGTGCAAGTAAAGACGAGAATAAAACAAAAAGAAAAAAAAGTAAATAAAATGCATAAAAGTAAAAGTTTAAATATCTGGATTGCCTCCCAGAAAGCTGCCATCTTTTAATGTCTGCGGCTAGACTCGTTGTTCTGCTCAGGACAACATGGAGAATCCATATCGTACTCTTAATAACCTGTGATCACTCAAAACAACACTCCAAAACAAACCAATAGCTAATCACAAGGTCAAAGTAAGCAATATAAACTAGTTTTAGTAATATTCATAAGTGTATTTTCCAAATAAACACATAAAGCTCTAACAACAAAATTTCTCAAAAAGTGATCAAGTTTCTGAAAAATTGGATGTTATGATGTGGGGTGATTACTTGCAAAGCACAAATAACTTGAATTACACCCAAACACATAAAAGAGTATTTGGAAAATACTTCTTTCTTGTAAAACTTACTGAAACTGTTTTTTATACTTTCAATTTAGTTCCGGAACTTTTTCACTACGTTTCCTCTTTTTTTTTTTGGATCGGTGTGTTTTATTTAATTTCAAACCAGATTTTTTATCTAATTCATTTCCCATCCGATTGAACTTTTTTTTTTTAAAGTTGAGCCTGACACTTTTAAAGAGATTTTGTTTTAGATTTTTTTCTCTTCTCTTTGATTTGTTTGGACTATGTTTTTACTCTTTTTTTTTTACTCCTACGTGCCGATTGTGTTTATTTCTAGTGGCCCTTTCTATGTTATTTCCCAAACTTTATTTTAAATGTAACAAATAAGGCAACCAGATTATAAGATTAGAGGGTATAAATAAAAAGATAAAAATCAACCATCCAAGTAGAGGAAGCAATTTTTTTTTAAAATTTGCATCAAGTTGCAGAGAAACTGAAAGAGAAAGAAAATAAATTAACTCCTAGCAACACACCTAATTGGGGGCAGGTAAAGTTTAAGTGATACTTAGCTGTGCTATGGTGTGAGAGCTTCATGATGCACCAGCCTTGAATTTAAACTTCGGCTTCTTTGGATCCAACGACGGCAAACAAGTGCCTAATCCAACCGGGACTGGGTTGGGTTTCGGTTGGTCGCCTTTACCCCTGCAGGTGTGTTCGAACACTGCCCGCTCTTTGTTTCGGTATTGGACCCTTCAGTTAATCAGAGCAGATGATGTGTTGTTGCCGGAGCTTATCGCGTTGAGTAATTCAGAGAGTGGCCCCTCTCTAATATCTTGGTACATCATAGCAATATTTATAAATGTTGTTGCAACATCAAGGACCAGAAGATAGCCCTAGAAGAAGTAATGCCCTTGACATATGCTGCAAGGCGAGCTCTGTTTGGTTAACTCCGTGGTAGAATATAGGCATAGTGTTTCTTCCATATATTTGGCAGTAATCCGGTCCAAGGTAGCGTTCATTTGATGATAAGCTCCTTGTGAAGTTGCATTATTGCTCCTGCCAATTGCCCTTCTTTTTTACGGCATATTGCATTTAAAACTGGAACACCCACTCTTCTTTAGCACAATTCACCTGTTTCGTTTCATAATCCTGCTAACCAATCTCGAGCATTGAAATATGCATAGCTCTATTCTTCTTTTTCTCTCTCTGTGGTAGCTGAAGTGCAGCCTACTCCCTTACTTTGTATTAGCCAAACCTTTAAGAGTAGCAAAAAGACATTCGATCTCCATTAAATGTATGTTATTGAATAACCTGAGTTAGTTCTAAAAATTGTTAATATACATAAAAAAAAAATGAGATGATTTCCTACGGCTTAAGCTCAAAAACAAATTAGATAAAGGAGTTGAACTGCATTTTATACTAGCTACTATTTCAAAAGGTTAGAAAAGAAAATGAAGCTAGTCAGTTTGATCAAAAAATATTTAATTAAGAGAAGTATAAGACAAGTAATACTAACAGGACACATACACAGACTTAACGGAGATTCGTAATAAAAGAAGACTAAACACTGTGGACACACACTATCCCAAAAACCAAAAACATGAAGAAAGAAACTGACTCAAAAATAAAAGCTAAAGATTTACTCAAAAAGACAAAGAACCGACCTGCACAAAAGAATAACATATTTCACTATTCTTAGTGGTTATGTGTTTTATTAGAAACTGAAAGACTTTTTTTTTTTTCGTTCCGTTTTTTTTATTTAACAAGAGTTTTTTTTTTACTTTTTTTTCCATTTTTTTTTGTTTTATTGTTATTTTTTTGTTTGTCAAAGCTTGACGTTGCCGTTTTTTAACATTTGACTATTTTGTTTTTTTGTTGCTTTTTTTTTGGTATTTTTTTTTAAACATAGCAAACTGAATTCCATAAAAAGTTAATCTTTCCCCGGCAACGGCGCCAAAATTTGTTAGGCGTGTCGTAGCACCTACAAATTAATTTATTATTTTCCTTAACTCTTAACCCCCTTTATGCATTAATATTGATTAAAACATATAGATAGGGCAAGTAAGGGTCGATCCCACGAGGAAAGATACTTTTTAAGCTATGAAAATCAATTTACTTTGTCACTTTTATTGACTAAAAACTAACTAAAACTAAATAACTAAATCTAAAAGATATGGGGGGTTTGAATGACGATTCTAAAAAGATAAAAATGCAAATAAAATAAAGATAAAGGATAACTGATAAGAGATAAGAGCCAGAACCACAACAACAACTCGAACTCAGAAGAACACTCAAGGAGAAAACAAACACACAAAAACAATCACCATAAACTTTATAAAAACGTAGACAGTAATAATTAACTTAAACCATTTTGAAAATACTTATAGTTTTTAATAAAAATAAACTGAACAAATCTGATTCACTAATTTATCATGTCTTGATTCTGAAATTAAACTGCCAATTAAACTCAGGGTTAGGCTGAAGAAGAGGTCCACCAACGGTTCTTCCCTATTTTCCCATTCATATTAGCTCATGTTAAGACCAACCCTAACTCTAAACCCTACTA